GGTTCGCGCTGCGATTCGCTGGGCCCTGCGGGTCTGGGAGTCCCGGCCTTGCACTCTGGCTAACGTGGCAGCCTTTCCTCTCCTGGGTCTCCACCTGAGCCTGCTTCCCGCCGGCGACGTTAGTGCTTGGTCATGGGGTCTCCCGGTGCCCGGTGCGTTCCACACGTTCGTCTTTTCTGATGCCAGCCCGGCCCTTCCCGGCCCGTCTCCCCTGATGCAGCAACTCCCCGGCTCCAGCCCGGTCACACCGCCTTTTCTTTTCTTATTCTTCCAAGTTAACTTTAAGGCGATCCTCACTTCTTACCTCCGAGCTACCCAGTCATTACTGGGATCCCCAGGAAGCCTCCAGGTCTGGTCCGCCAGGTGGTCCCTGGGTGATGCTCCATCAGGACTTGTTGGCCGGTTCTTCCCGCAGCCACCCCAGCTCACTCCTCTCCTGCCTCTCATTACCGCTTTCCCAATGGTCCCCGGCCTCTCCGCTGCGCCTTCGAGCTCACATGCCAGTTGCAACCTCGCTCCCCAGCGAGAGCCCCCAACTTGCCTCTGCAATTGAAACAGCGTGGGTACCAGCAGGCCGGTCCCCTGTGCGGTTCTCGGCCTGTGGGAGTTTGCTTTCTGGTTCTTGCATCTGCACTGTTCCCTGTGCAGTCCCAGGACACCGACCCTGACTCCAGCTCCAGCTTTAGTTCCTGCATCGTAGGTCTAGCATGTCACTGGGAATGGTGGGGCAGCTCTGGACTTGGTGTTGCTGCCGTGGCCTGGGATCCGGGTACCATATGTTGTATACAGTCAAGTGAGTTGTGTGCTTAGACCCCTGGTCTGGCTTTTTCAGCCAGTGGATGTGTTAGTATTGTGTGTGATTCGATGGGTTAAAGGGCCCTAGTTTGCCCTCCATTTTACATCTGTGGTTGGAGTTTGGAATAGAAAAAAATAGACCCACTTTAGAGCAGAGGTGAGAAGAGGCTGGCAGCCATGTGAAGGATTTAAAAAATTCTAACAAGAAATGTAAAATGGCTTAAAACTCACAAAGTCTGCTTGAGAGTTTGGGGTGGTTCTCCAGTCTGGATAGAGTGTCTAGGCAGCCGTGGGCAAACTACTGCCCGAGGGCCGGATCCGGACCGTTTGAAATGAATAAAACTAAAAAAAAAAAGACCGTACCCTTTTATGTAATGATGTTTACTTTGAATTTATATTAGTTCACACAAACACTCCATCCATGCTTTTGTTCCGGCCCTCCGGTCCAGTTTAAGAACCCATTGTGACCCTCGAGTCAAAAAGTTTGCCCACCCCTGGTCTAGGGACTTCTGGGTCCCCTCCTGAGGCAGCTGCAGCCTCTCTTCCTTGTTTTCCCTGGCTGGAGCCCAAGACTGGGCAAGTGGGCAGAAGGGATCAAATGAGTTAAAGTGTGAAAGTGCTTTAAAAACTTAACTAGTATAGTAGACATGCTGCGCATTTGTCAGGACAGTTCAGAGAGTATAGAGCTCGGATAGCTGACCAGCCAAGAGGATTGGGCTTACGCTGTGTGTTTGTGTGTGTGTGTTTATACATTCTTATTGATTTTTTTTTTTTAAGGGAGAGAGAGAGAAACATTGATCAGTTGCCTCTTGCATGTGCCTGGATGGGGGCTCAAACCCACAACCTGAGTGTGTACCCTGCCCAGGAATTGGAACCTGCCACCTTTTGGTGCATGGACGATGCTCCAACCAACAGCCACAGCAGCCAGGGCCTGCGCCGTTTTTTAAGCCTCAGAGAGTTCTCATTTACCATGCAGGGAGAATCTTTCCATCCTGACAAAGGGCGGAGTCACCTCCAACAGGCTTGAGGCTGGGCAGTTTCTCAAATGTTGGGGAATTTGGGATTCTACTTCTGTTAATAGTGGTACCTTTCTGTGCCAAGGCACATTGCTTTGGATTGGGACTAATTTTAGGGGTGATGGAATGAGGAAGTGATGTTCTTAGCTTAGTGTGTACTGGGACTGCCTTTTCTCTGGATCTTTACCTTCTCCTGTGGGTTCTGAACCCGAGAACAGGCTCCCCTCCTGTTCCTTCAAGCCTGTTGTGAGCGCCCAGGATCAGTGTGTCCTGTCCCCATGACTCCAGCAGGGGGCAGCCTTTTAATAGTAATAATTCTGACGCCAGGAGAGTGAGGGTATACTGAGGCCTGAGAAAGAGGAGCTGGTAGAGGAGGCAGGCAGATGGGGAGGGGTGGGGGCTAAGTTGGAAGGAGCCTATGAGGAGATCCTTAGATCACGTAGCCAGGAAAGGCCTTGTCCCCACTACTCTGCCTGCTGACTCCCACCCTTCCATGGAAGGAATCCAAATGCTTGGCTTTGAGAGTTTGTAATAGAGAAACTTAGGATAATTTTTTTTAAAACCTAGGTTTTTCCCAATGATTTCCCTCCTGACAGGATTTCAGATTTCTCTCATGGGACAGTATAATTAGGGAATTATTTCCTTGCTCTTCACTGGGGAGAATGAACTTCAATTAATTTGGTTTCTCTGGTCTTTCATTCTTCTCTATAAACAGAGAATAGGCATTACTTCTGCTTGTGGCATAGAAGAGGGTTTCTCAACCATGGCAATAATGACATTTAGGGCCAGCTAATTCTCTGTTGTGGAAAGCTGTGCTATGCATTATAGGATGTTTAGCAGCATCCCTGGTCTCTACGCATTAGATGCCAGTAGCACCTTCCAGTGATGCCAAATATATCTCCAGATTTTGCCACACGTCTCCCCGTCCCTTCCCCCAAGTTGAGAACTGCTGGCTTCGAGGAAGCATGTGGAAAGATACATGCCTATTTAGAAGAGTGGAAATTATGGGAGGCATGCATGCTGCTTGGCAAGGAAGGGCCAGTCAGCTACCAGCTCTGGGACCAGATTCTCCTCCTGGAGTCTTGGCCTTTTTCTCCAGCTGCTCCTATGCTCCCCACCCCGACCCCTGACTGCTTCTCATTTTGCCTCTGCAGATATCTTGCTTCTCACACTGGGAGCCGTTTTTCTTCACTTTGCTCATACAGGACAGAGAGGCAAAGGCAGCTGTGGAAAGCACCAAGGAGTGCCGCCTTTGCCCCACTCCCTGGCGGGGTGGCAGGGTGAGTTGTCCCTTTTCTGTTCCCCTCTCCCCATAGCAGCCTTCCATGCCACAGGACTCCTTTGTTCCTCTAGAACAGCGGCTCTCAACCTGTGGGTCGCGACCCCTTTGGCAGTCGAACGACCCTTTCACAGGGGTCGCCTAAGACCATCGGAAAACACATATATAATTACATATTGTTTTTGTGATTAATCACTATGCTTTAATTATGTTCAATTTGTAACAATGAAATTGGGGGTCACCACAACATGAGGAACTGTATTAAAGGGTTGTGGCATTAGGAAGGTTGAGAACCACTGCTCTAGAAGATGGGCTATTCTGGAGTGAACTGGAGGAGGCTCAGAACAGCCTCTCCTAAGATTTGTTTGAAGGAATTTGAGGTGTTTTTCTTAAAATGGGGAAGACTTAAGTTTGTGATAGCTATCCCCAAATGCCTTTTATTGTTTTCCTTAAACCTTTTTTTTTAATGGTGGTAAAGTATAACATATGCCATTTTAACCATTTTTAAATGCAAAGTTCAGCAACATTAAATACATTCACATTGTTCAGCTATCACCACCATCCATCTCCAGAACTTTTTCATTTGCCCCATTTCAGCTGAAACTCTGTACCCATTAAACATCTCCTCTTGCCCCAGATCCCCGCCCCCATTCTACTCTCTTCTCTCTTTGAATTTGAGTCCTCTAGGAATCTCATATAAGAGGAATCATACAATGTCTGTTCTATTGTGACTGGCTTGTTTCACTTAGCACAGTCTTTAAGGTTCATCCATTGTCCAAATCGCATAATGGTTGTAGCATTGAAAGAAGTAACCTTACTCTGCTGTCTGGGAGGCTTACTTGCATTCCATGAAGGGAAGAGCTTTTCAACAGACTTGTCTTCTGACGGCCGTGTGTGCCGTATCGTGTTCCATCACCAGGAATATCCAGCCAGAGCAGTTGTAGAAGAGATGCCCGTGCTGGGAGAGGTCAGCCCCATTCTAGCTGGTCTTAAAAGCTCCGTTTCATCCTGAGATGCTGGGATTCTGGGAGTGGGTACTGTGTCTGTTCTAGAGTTTTATATTCTGGTATGCAGCTGTAGGTCAGAGAGCCTCTGCCCCTTGGCCCCTCTGGTAAAACCCTTCTTCTCCCTTCCCAGAGTTGTGGAGTCTTGGAGTTAATGGGCATTGTGGGGGCACTCCAGTCCAGCCTTCTTCCCAACCAGTGAGAGAATCCTTGCTCAGCCACCTGAGACGCTGCTTGCCCGGAACCGCCAGGGATGAGCTGCCTCCTGAGAGCATCTTTTATCGGTCCTTAGAGGGACAGGTCACTGCCAACGCCGCCACTTCTGTCAGCCTCAGTAACTCTGAGCTTATTTGGACTTTATGGTGAGGGGCCTTTTTCCCAACTTGTATCATCATAACTTGGTTCCCTTCTTGGCTCATTTTACTAACATTTGGATTCTTCCTGATTGGGAAGAAGAAGGGGTTTGGGTGTTGGTTCCTGTTTGGTAAACCAGCCCATGGGCGCACTGGCTGGACTTGCCTTCATGAAGCCTTCAGCATGTGCCCACCTGTGTCCCTGGAATAGCATCCCCACCCCCACTCCCCTTGTACTGGGTTTCTCTTGAAACTGAGTCTCTGGATTCTAGCTGCCAAGCAGCCAGCTCTGAAATTTTTCAGAAGGAAAATAATTTTTCTCCCAGATTAATTTCTAATCCTTCTCTTCATAACTGACCTTTTTTCTCTCTGCAATATTTGTGGTTTCAGTGGGTTTTTTATTTGTTTGATTATTTTTGTTTTATCTTTGTCCTGAATGTCCATGCAAACCTTAACCACCCCCTTACTGAATGCTATGCCAGGCAGCCAGAGTGCTGAGACCTAGAGAGGTGCCTGGAGTATTCTCTGCCCACCTCCAGTACCTCAGTCAGGCTTTGCTGGGTGAATTAACTGTTTGTGGGACCAAACATGGGGGACAGAGATGAGAGGGAGTAGAGGCTATAGTCACCATTATGTAGGCTACAGGCAGGGAGACCCGTCTGACCCATTAATTTAACCCACCTTCTTCCCCTCATCTTATTAAGGATTTTTCCCAGATGTGAAGGTCCCTCCCTGGGCACCACTGTGGTCAAACCAACATCTAGTAGCTTGGGGCCCCTGGTTCACTCCAGCGTAGGCTTCTGCCTGAAGAGAGGCTGGTCCATACTCTACCTGCTGCCCAGAGTAAGGCTGTCAGGTGGGTCTGGGGCGAGGGAGGGCACCCCTGCAGAAACAGAAGGGTCCTAGCTGCTCTGTTTTCTACCTTACCCCTAGGTCTTCCCCTGCCGTGACTCTGGTTAGCTCATGGTGTAAGTGGCACGTGGCTGGTTTAGGTGAGTCCTTTTAGAGCCCATTACTATGCCCACCAAGGTGGGGACCTATTAACCATCTAGGGTTATCTGGGTGTGCTCTCTCTAAGCCCGGTGTCCCCTCTGCCTCCACAGGTATTTGGAGAGTGAACTCCAGGTCCCCCCACCCCTGCTCATCTCCTCTGATCTCTAGGACACACCCAGCTCCACAATGGCAGCAGAGACCCTCAACTTTGGGCCTGAGTGGTGAGACAGATATGCTTTGGGCGGCATGGGAAAGCCAGAAAGAATAGAGCTGCTCAAGCTCCGGTCTTTCTTCTTCCCTATGTCCCTTTTCTAGGCTGAGGGCACTTTCTAGTGGTGGCAGCGTGGCCTCCCCGCCCCCATCTCCTGCTATGCCCAAGTACAAGCTGGCTGACTATCGATATGGGCGAGAGGAGATGCTGGCTCTCTACGTCAAGGAGAACAAGGTGGGAGGGTGGGTGTAGGGGAGGGTACGTGATCCAATTGCCTGTCTGTCCTTAGTCAGTGGAGAGTTCCCAGGAGCAAGTGGTATCTCGGCCCTCCTGCCTTGATTGACAGGTCCCAGATGAGCTGCAAGACAAGGAATTTGCTGCGGTGCTACAGGAGGAGCCACTGCAGCCCCTGGCACTGGAGCCTCTGACCGAAGAGGAGCAGGTGGGGCTAGGGCACTGGAGCTCCATCTTGGAGGGCTGGATTGGGAAGACAGGTGGTGGAGGGTACAGTTCTGGACAGGGTGGGGGCAGTCAGGTACCTGGGTCCTCATTCCCACCCCTGGCTCCCTCCTCAGAGAAACTTCTCCCTGTCAGTGAACAGTGTGGCTGTGCTGAGGCTGATGGGGAAAGGGGCTGGCCCCGCCCCAGGCGGCGCCTCCCGTGGCAGGGGCAGCACTCGGAGCCGAGGTAGGGGGCTGATAACATGTGCTGGGGTAGCAGGTGGTGGGGGCCTGTGGTTTGAAGATGTGCAGAGGTGATCTGGCAAGTTTCCTATGTGCATCTCATTCCTGTTCCAGGTCGTGGCCGTGGTGACAGTTGCTTTTACCAAAGAAGCATTGAAGAAGGCGACGGGGCCTTTGGTCGAAACCCCCGGGAGATCCAGCGTAGCCAGAGTTGGGATGACAGGTGCAGGCTGGAAGGAGATGGCATAGAGGCTGAGCAGAGAGAAGCCCTAGGGTTAAGATCTAGGATCCCATGAAGAAAGGCTTAGGTCTTTGTCATTAGAGGGCAGCAGGAGAATAATCAAATAAGCCCTGGTCAGCAACTGTGCTCTCTGCCCTCTGACCCCTGCAGCCCTGCCCTTTCCTTATGATTTCCTTAGTCCCCATTTGTTCTGTGACCTTCGGTTCTGTGTGCCTCCTTGAGCTCCCTCCCAGGTCTGACCTTTTCCTAGTCCCCCCTCCCCTCCCTCCCTCCTCCTCAGAGCAGAATGGACAGGTGTGCAGAGATCTCAAAGTCAGGGATGGGAAGCTGTCCTTTGACCAACACCTTTCCCTCCTGCAGAGGCGAGAGGCGATTTGAGAAGTCGGCCAGGAGGGATGGAGGTATGGATAGTGGTGAGGGAGGTTCCAGGCCCTGAAGGTCATTGAGAGGTGGGGGGAGATGGGAATGGGTGGCCCCAGTGAGGGGGGCCTTTCCTGGGGAAGGTGCGGGGTGGGGCAAGAGAACCTGGAGCTGGGCTCCTCTTTGTCAATGAGGATTATAGAAAGAGTCTTCCAGGGACTGTGGCTGCCACTCTGCTGACTGTGTCTTCCCCTGCCCCCAAGCACGATCCGGGTTTGAGGAGGGAGGGGCTGGTCCAAGGAAGGAACATGCCCGCTCAGATAGCGAGAACTGGCGTTCTCTCCGGGAGGAGCAAGAGGAAGAGGAGGAGGGCAGCTGGAGACTTGGGGCAGGACCCCGGCGAGATGGTGACCGCTGGCGTTCATCCAGCCCTGGTGAGATTGGGGCTAGATGGGTGTTGTAGGGGGTGGGGAGCAGCAAGAACGTCCCATGCAGGGGGCTTTCATGGCCAGGTGGAGGGAACTAAAAGTGTTCTCGAGTGAGGAGGGTGGGGGAGAAGTCCTGGAAATGCCGGGAGTCCCAGGGGTCCTATGGGCAGCAGAAGAGGAGCCTCTGGCTCGACTGGGATACTGATTCTCCTTCTGACTTTTCCTGCACAGATGGTGGCCCCCGCTCGGCTGGCTGGCGGGAACATGGGGACCGCCGTCGCAAGTTTGAATTTGATTTGCGAGGGGATCGAGGAGGGTGTGGTGAAGAGGAAGGGCGGGGTGGGGGGAGCAGCTCTCACCTCCGGAGGTGCCGAGGGCCTGACGGCTTTGATGATGACAAGGATGGGCTCCCAGAGTGGTGCCTGGATGATGAGGATGAAGAAATGGGCACCTTCGATGCCTCTGGAGCCTTCTTGCCTCTCAAGGTATCCATGAGGTGGCCAGGGGAGGATTTTGTTAGAGATTGGTGGGAACCTGCCCTGATGGGGTCCTCTTACTCCCACCTGTTTATCCTCTGCCCCCTCACCTCCCATTGTATTCTCTAATCCCATGCAGAAGGGCCCCAAGGAGTCCATTCCTGAGGAGCAGGAGCTTGACTTCCAGGGTCTGGAGGAAGAGGAGGAAGAGCCTGCCGAAGGGCTGGATGAGGAGGGACCTGAGGCAGGTAAGCCTGCAGGGTGGACTAAGGAGAAGGCCTGAGAGCCTGAACTGGGCTAGGTGGGCAGAGGGTTCCCTCACCAGGCTGGGTACTGACTGTCCACTCACCTTTAGAAGAAGGCTGCTTAGAAACTCCAGAAAAGCAGGTACTGACAGGTGTGGGAAGGAACCCAGAAACAGCAGGGCTGTATTTTAAAGGCAGTGTGTCATATGAAAATCAAGCATGATCAAAATGACCTTTGCAGCCCTGACCGGTTTGGCTCAGTGGATAGAGCGTTGGCCTGCGGACTCAAGGGTCCCAGGTTCTATTCTGGTCAAGGGCATGTACCTTGGTTGCGGGCACATCCCCAGTAGGGAGTGTGCAGGAGGCAGCTGACCAATGTTTCTAACTCTCTATCTCTCTCCCTTACTCTCTGTAAAAAATCAATAAAATATATATTTTTTTAAAAATGACCTTTGCAAATCCCTTGAAGAATCTGTAGAACATAGTAGTAAATTTATGGTATTGTGCATACAGCCCTGGACAGTGCCATAGACACATGCCGGGGTTCAGTATTAGAGTGGCAAAAAAGGAAGTGTGCAAAGCGGAGTTTGTGGTGTTGAGTTACTGAATGTTGAGATGACCAGGGTTACGTTGGTGGACTCTACCTAGAAGCCCAAGGTCTGGACACAAATAGAAGGCTTGTGCTATTTTTAAGGACTTCTGGCTCTTTGGTTTTGAAGTCTGGTAATTACCCTTTTCAGGTGCGAAGGAACTGACCCCACTGCCACCTTCAGAGAAGTCCAGCTCTCCGTCCCCATTGGCCACCTTGGGCCCACTCTGGGGAGCTAATGGGGAAGGAGGTGATGCTGTGGAGAAAGACCTGCCAGTTACTGAAGGTAGCCAGAGGGTGGGGCTGCCCTTTCATTGGAACCAAGGGCTGGTGGTGAAAACCTGCCTCTTCCTTATGGGAGGGTGGTGCACGGGGTGTTTGTGTGAGAGCTAGAGTAGAGCCTGCTTTTCTAGAAGAGGGTGGATAGGGGACTGTCTTGCACTTTCTCTGGGCCCTCCATTCCACCTTCCTTTGCTCCCAGGAGATGATTTGAGGGGCATGCAGCTGAGTCCTGGAGTGGGCTCACCCCCCGGCCCGCCTGGAGATCTGGAAGATGATGAAGGCTTGAAGCACCTGCAGCAGGTTGGGTGGGGGCAGGGAGCCTAAGAAGGCTCTGGGGATCCTCCCCTACAGGGGGACAGAAAGCCATTGTTAGTCTGTCTGCCCCGGTACCATGCTCTTCCCCATCTGTCCCACTGTGTCTAGCTCACCCTCGCTTGACCTTAGCCCCAGCCCTGTCCTGCTATTGTGTGATTGGGCAATTGAGCCTTCCCTCTCTCCCTGGGCTCCCAGGAGGCAGAGAAGCTTGTGGCATCCCTGCAAGACAGCTCCCTGGAGGAGGAGCAATTCACGGCTGCCATGCACACCCAGGGCCTGCGACACTCTGCAGCTGCCACTGCCCTCCCCCTCAGCCATGGTGCGGCCCGAAAATGGTTCTACAAGGACCCACAGGGAGAGATCCAAGGTGCCCATGGGGAGTAGGGGGCATGCAGGAGGGGCTGTTAGGGGTGGTGGCACACCATCGTTCTCTTTCAGGGTTCCTTTGGCATACCTTTCTGACCAAAGCCCTCTTTCTGCCTGTCCAGGCCCCTTTACAACACAGGAGATGGCAGAGTGGTTCCAGGCAGGCTATTTCTCCATGGCCCTGCTTGTGAAACGTGGTTGTGATGAGGGCTTCCAGCCACTTGGTGAGGTGATCAAGATGTGGGGTCGTGTCCCCTTTGCCCCCGGGCCCTCACCACCCCCACTGCTGGTGAGCATACCCACCTTTGGGCGAGGCAGGGAGGGGAGGCAAGATGTCAACCGGTTGTGTGGAGCATGACAAGGAATATTCTCATCCTTGCTCAGGGAAACATGGACCAGGAGCGGCTGAAGAAGCAACAGGAGCTGGCAGCAGCGGCACTGTACCAGCAACTGCAGCACCAGCAGTTTCTTCAGCTGGTCAACAGGTACAGGGCCCAGGAGGACCTGTAAACAGGAATGGACATGGGTTATATGGGCGGGCCTCCTCATGCCTGTCTTCCTTTCCACAGCCGCCCCCTCCAGCAGTGTGGGCTCCGGGAAAAGGTGGCTCTGGGGGACTTGACGCCACCGCAGCAGCAGCAGCTCACCACCTTCCTGCAGCAGCTCCAAGCTCTCAAACCCCCCAGGTCTGTGGGTTGCTGTGCCTGTCACATCTCAGTCTTTGCTTGGCTGCATGTGTGAGCCCTCGGGATATGTAAAGTGGGGAGATGGGTTTAGATTGCTGAGAATCAGTGCTTTGCTCCTCAGAAGTGGGGACCAGAACCTGCTCCCGACGATGAACCGGTCCTTGTCGGTGCCAGATTCCGGCTCCCTCTGGGATATACATACCTCAGCCTCATCACAATCAGGTGTGTGTCCAGCCCAGTAGTCTCTGGGGAAGTAGGGAGCTCAGGGGCTTCACCTACCCCTCAGGTTGCTTCAGTCCAGGGAGCCTGAGCGCCCTCCTGCAGCTGCCTTTGCCCCTTGCAGGCGGTGAGGCCAGTCTATGGGACATACCAATTAACTCTTCGACTCAGGGTCCAATTCTAGAACAACTCCAGCTGCAACATAAAGTGAGTAGGCATCCTGGGGCTGGAGTCCTTGGTGTCAAGAGCTGAACTGACAGGGAAATCAGGGTGCCCACATGTCTGACGGCTGATCTTGTTGACTGTCAGTTCCAAGAGCGCAGAGAAGTGGAGCTCAGGGTGAAGCGGGAGGAGGAGGAGCGCAAGCGCCGGGAAGAGAAGCGACGCCAGCAGCAACAGGAGGAGCAGAAGCGGCGACAGGAGGAAGAGGAGTTGTTTCGGCGCAAGCAGGTGGGTTCCCAGCTGAGCCCTCCCGCTTCTTGGGCCTGAGCTTGGGGCCAGATTGCTGGCCCTCACTGTCTCACTGGTTCAGGTGCGGCAACAGGAGCTACTACTGAAGCTGCTGCAGCAGCAGCAGGCAGTGGCCGCAGTCCCAGTGCCCCCTGCACCCAGCTCCCCACCCCCACTGTGGGCTGGCCTGGCCAAGCAAGGACTCTCCATGAAGACGCTGCTTGAACTGCAGTTGGAGAGCGAGCGACAGCTGCATAAGCAGCCTCTGCCTCGAGAGTCATCGCGGGCCCAGGCCTCCAACCACCGAGTGGTGAGCACGCTGGGCCCTTCCCTGGTTGACTTGCAAGTTTTGGGCCTGCAGGAACCCCTTCCAGTCAGCTTTCAGGGGTGACTTGGGTGTGGGGTGGGGAGCTCTGGTCCTTACATGACTGAAGGATCTCTCCTCTATGTGGTCTTTACTTTGCCCCTCTATGTGGTCCTTACACGCCTCCCCACTTAGCTTTCTTTCCCTATTTGGGCCACTGACTTTCTGCCATCTATACCAGCTTGGGGGCCTGGGCACTACTCCCGTGAACCAGTGGATATCTGAATCTGGGCCGCTGTGGGGCGGCCCCGACAAGAGTGGGGGCAGCAGTGTCGGCCTGGGGCTTTGGGAGGACACCATCAAGAGCAGCGGGAGCGTGGCCCGCAGCCTAGGCCTGAAGAACAGCCGGAGCAGCCCCTCTCTCAGGTGGGTGCCAGGGCCTGCAGGGTCTGGGCTGGGGCTGGAAGGTTGGAGAACACCTGAACTGATCTCTTGCCTCTAATCCATCTTTATCCAACCTAGTGACTCGTATAGCCACCTGTCTGGTCGGCCTGTGCGCAAAAAGACAGAGGAGGAAGAGAAACTGCTGAAGCTGTTACAGGGCATTCCCAGGCCCCAGGATGGCTTCACCCAGTGGTGTGAGCAGATGCTGCACACACTGAGCACCACAGGCAGCCTGGATGGTATAGGGGCAGACTCTGGGAGGCTGGGCTGGGCCAGAGGTGCCAGACCTTGCACCAGGTGGGCCCTGACAGCCACCATCCTGCCCTATAGTGCCCATGGCTGTAGCGATCCTCAAAGAGGTGGAATCCCCCTATGATGTCCACGATTATATTCGTTCCTGCCTGGGGGACACGCTGGAAGCCAAAGAATTTGCCAAACAATTCCTGGAAAGGAGGGCTAAGCAGAAAGCCAGCCAACAACGGCAACAGCAGCAGGTGAGGTTTCGCATCCCCTGCAGGTGAGGATGAGGTTGCCCAGCACCCTCCTGACTCCCTTTCCCTTTCTGCTGCCTGGCAGGAGGCTTGGTTGAGCAGCGGCTCTCTGCAGACCGCCTTTCAGACCAACCACAGCACCAAACTTGGCCCTGGGGAGGGCAGCAAGGCCAAGAGGAGGGCACTAATGCTACACTCGGACCCTAGCATCTTGGGTATGTTTTGGGGGTGGGGTCAGTAAGGAGGCTCCTTCCTCAGCTTGGAGCAGGCACCTGTGGGTGAAAGAGCTCAAACCCAGCTTCTTCCGGCTTCAGGGTACTCCCTGCATGGACCTTCTGGTGAGATCGAGAGCGTGGATGACTACTGACCAGCCCGTCCCACCAGCCCCCCTGGGCTGTAGGCCAGGGGCAACAGCAGCAGCTTGGACTCTTGGGTCCCCAGCTTGCAGGCTCCCAGCAAGGAGCATAGGAGGAAGCAGGGGCAGGGTCCCCAGCACTTGTTACAAACCACACGATGCACCTTAACTCACCCACCACGAGGCACTTTAATAGATTGGGGGGAAGGTTTTTTTTTTTCCTTTTAAAAAAATTTTAAACATTGAAAACGTTAGGAGAAACGTAATTGTTAAAAACTAGACTCTAAGCACCCCTTCCCCATCTGAGGATTGGGTCCCCAGCTTGCAGGCTCCCAGCAAGGAGCATAGGAGGAAGCAGGGGCAGGGTCCCCAGCACTTGTTACAAACCACACGATGCACCTTAACTCACCCACCACGAGGCACTTTAATAGATTGGGGGGAAGGTTTTTTTTTTCCTTTTAAAAAAATTTTAAACATTGAAAACGTTAGGAGAAACGTAATTGTTAAAAACTAGACTCTAAGCACCCCTTCCCCCTCTGGGGATTGTGGGGGTGACAATGGAAGGTCCACAGAGTTTTTGGTTTTGTTGGGTTGTGTTTTTTTTTTTAAGAAAAAAGAAAAACAATGAGAAAAAAAAGTTAGGAGGCTGAAAGAAAACACACACTGTTATTTTTGGGCAGTGGGGACATGGCCCCATCGGTCTGTCCTGCCTGGCCCCCAAGGCTGCACTTACCCTCCCTGCCCTGCCAGGTGGGCCATTGAGGTAACTGGAAGCTGGGGTGCCAGCAGTTTGCACAGCGACGTCCCCTCAGCCCCACCGGCCGGACTGCTGTGAAAGGCCCCCTTATTGCTATGACTGTGGCAGAGGTGTCTGGGGTCAGGGCTAAAGGAGCCCCTTGGCTTTGCTGCTTTGGGGGAAAGTTGCACAAATGGGCCAGGCCACCTCCCGTCCCCAGGTGGCTGACGGGGTAGATGGCAGAGGGCCAGCCAGTGCCAACCTCATCTGGCTGTCAGGACAGCAGAACTTCCACTCTGGCCCTGGTGAGGGGCTTCCCCCACCACTGCCATTAGGGGAACTGGGTGTGAAGCTGAAAGCCCAGCTCCCTGCCTTGCCACATGAATGTATTCTTTGGGCCATAAGCCCCTGCTGCGTCCCTTCTAGTGAGGTGGGGCAAACTAGTTCCTTCTGGGGCTGGAGAGAGGCACCACTTAATGACTATTTCTCCTGTGAAGGGGGTGAGAGGAGGGGCCCAGGAGGCCAAGGGAGTGGACAGCTTGGGGCTTCAGGTTGCAGTGTGGCGGCTGTTAGAGGGGAGCTTTCCACCTATAGCCAGCTGGCTATGGGATGTGGACCACCCAGCTCTGCCCTGACCCCTCCATTGACCAAACTGGAGAGGAGTGAGTGGCTTCTCCCCTCCTTACTCCCCTGATAACATTTTTAATGTTGGGTAAGGTGGGGGGTGGGGGGGTCAAGAATAGATGTGTCGTTTCGCCTAAGTCAGGGGGAGGTGGTCCTTCTGCTCATGGACCTATTCCCAGTCACCTGCCTGGGTTTGTCTTCAGTGTGTGTGTGTGTGTGTGTGTGTGTGTTTTAAGTTTGTTGTATCTTTTGGGTTTCTCACCTAATTTCTCCTATTGACCTCACTGCTCAGAGTGCAGTATTAGGGCAGGATTCTGCCACTGCCTCCCCTCCATGAATGTATTTCTCCTTCCTGCCCTGGGGAAATGGGGAGTGGCCCCAGTTTTTCCCCCTATCCATCCCCGGAGAGACCATGCGTTTTTTGTTTGTTTTGGAGTGGTTGTTTTTGTTTGTTCGTTTGTTTTTGCACCAAAGTGGCAACTGGGTCAGTGTTGGGGGAATAAAGCTGGCCTTGAGGGGTGGAGGGGCTCCCTCCACCTGCTTCTCCCTGGTTTCAACAGTGTTAGCGTCCGTGAAAAGACAATATTCTCTCTAAAGCAATAAGGGGGTGATGGGCCAGGGTGAAGTGTCTTGCTGCTGCTGGCCCCCCAGCTCCCCTTTTCCTTGCGCCAGTATTTGGCGGCATTAGAGGTGTGGGGGGAGTACTGTTGTGACTGAATGTAACTGCCCCCACCCCTGCCGCAGCCAATGCAGGGGGAGGGGGGATAACACTCTTCCCCTCTCTTCCTTCCCCTCCCCCTAGCTAAAGAGACTTTGAGCCTGGAGAGGCCTTAACCCTGTGAGGAAGTGTAGGGGGAACCCTCTCCCACCCTATCCCCTTCTGAGAGTGGTCAATGTTTACAAGCCCCTGAGCCCTCCAAAGCCCAGGGACTCATTCCCCCCGTTGATATCCTTTCCCAGCCCATCTTCCTGGGCCCTGGCTGCTCTCCTGCCCTTCCTGGGGTTGGGGTGAGGTGCAGGGGCCTTCTGTATCCCCTTGTCTGCCTTGTACCCGAAATCTCCCCACCCTGTTACTCCTCCCTCTTCTACCTGCCCCTGTAAATACTACCCCCAATAAAACTTGGTGTGTGTTCCCTTCAGCTTCTGCATCTTTTCTTGGGGAAAGAGAGTGTAGGAGGAGAGTCAGAACTGGGAATTCAAAAGAACTGCGGACATGGTATGGTTGGTCAGTCTGAATGGAGGGCTGTGTATGTTTAAGTGGAATAAATACATATAACCCTACTGGGAAAAAATTCCTGCCTATAACTCCAGCTTTGGTCCGAGGAAAAGTGCAATTTCCTCTTGGGCCCCCTACCCCAGTGATGGCGAACCTTTTGAGCTCGGCGTGTCAGCATTTTGAAAAACCCTAACTTAACTCTGGTGCCGTGTCACATACAGAAATTTTTTGATCTTTGCAACCATAGTAAAACATAGATGTATATCTTTGATATTTATTTTATATATTTAAATGCCATTTAACAAAGGAAAATCAACCAAAAAGATGAGTTCGCATGTCACCTCTGACATGGGTGTTATAGGTTCGCCATCACTGCCCTACCCCCAAGCTGATATGCCCTACCCAAAGTAAGGAAGACACAAGCAAGAGGAGAGACCAGGTACAGAGTTGGAATTGGTTCCTTTATGGAAAAACTGAAAATATAATAAAAATTAAAATAAAACCAGTTTTAAAAAAGCCAGCCCCTGGAGTTTCTACCTCCTGCCTCTGACCCTCCAGGGGGATGAGGCCCTGACCCCAGGGCAGCTAAAGAAGGAGGGCTTTCTGCCTCTCTTCCCCCATTCTATTCCCATCTTTATTTCCACAGTGGGGGCCCCGGGAGGAACCAAACCTGGGTAGGGGAGCAGGGACCCAAGGCCCAATGGCCAGGGGAGGGAGGCTCATGTGCCCCAGCCCCAAAGCTCCCGGCCTGTAGTGTGGGCGTGGGCAAGGCCCCTCCTGGCCGGGCCCAGTTGGGGTTGGGGCTATTAGTTCCAGATCTTGAGGAAGGAGTCCCAGGAGCCTGTGGCCACAGCCATGCCATCATCTGTGACCCCGAGGCAGCTCACACGGTTGTCATGGCCGGCGAGGACACCTGTGAGGGAGGGGTACATCAGAACTCATCTGGCCTGGTTCCCTGTCCTAGCCTATCTCAGCCCAGCACCCAGCTCTCACCTGCACGGTCGCCCTTCATGGCATCCCAGATGTTGCAGTTGAAGTCATCATAGCCAGCAAGCAACAGCCGGCCACTGCGAGAGAAGGCAACAGAGGTGATGCCGCAAATGATGTTGTCATGGGAATACATGAGAAGCTCCTGGTCCGCCCGCAGGTCGAAGAGGCGGCACGTGGCGTCGTCAGAGCCAGTGGTGAAGGCATAGCCGTTGGGGAAGAACTACAGGACACAACCAGAGTGGAATAAGGGCACAGAGCGGGGCCAGAAGCCTGGCAGAGGGGCCAGCCAGCCTGCCCAGAACTTACAGCCACAGCATTGATGTCGGATTCGTGGCCAATGAAGGTCTGTCGGCACATTGAATCCCGAACATCCCACAGCTTGATAGAGGCATCACAGGCACCTGACACAAAGGTGCGGCCATCGGGGGCCAGTGACAAGGACATCACATCCCCACTGTGTCCAGCAAAAGCCACTGTCTGCTGGCCTGTCTCAATGTCCCACAGGGCACTAGCGAGAGGACAGTAAGAAAAAAGGGATCAGAGAGGAGGGCAGAGAGGACTCTTGCCTCCCTACCCCTCCATCATGTGAGCCCAGCCCTGACAGCTTCCAAGGAAGGGGCATCAGGAGCCACTGACTCACAGAAGCCTACTCTTGTCTCCTTCCCACCACAGGAGGAGCCCAGATGTTCAGAATAAGAGCTCTGCCCTCACTTGCTCAGGCTGTGTGTGCTACATGCTAAGCACTGGGGCAGTGTTCCCCCAGGCAGGAAGTGTGGATGACAGGGCCTCACCAGGTGGTGTCCCCAGAGCTGGTGATGATTTGGTTGTCATCCAGGAAGCGGCAGCAGGACAGGTACCCTGGGGGAAAAGGCTGGTCAGCCAGGTCTCTAAGGGAGAGCAGCACAGCCCCTACCCCACCAACAGCACCTATGTCCTACCAGGCCCCCCTTACCAGTATGGCCAGGCAGCTCCCGGCTGACCCTGACATTGCCCTCACGGGTCTTGAGGCTGTAGATGGAGCAGATGTTGTCCAACCCCCCACAGGCTACAAAGTTCCCTGAGGGCGCGTAGGCACAGGTCATAACCCAGGAGGAACGTAGCGGGATGGCATGGACCTAGGGAGGAGGGGCAATGCCCAGGGTCAGAAACCAGGCAGGGCCTGCAGCCCAGCCCCGTCCAGCCTCAGGATCACCTCTACCTTGTTGGTGGTATAGCTGTCCCAAATGATGAGCTTCCCATCCTGGGAGGCGCTGACCAGCAGCCTGTTGGAAAGTGGCAAGGGAGAGACAGGGGTCAGGGTGTGAAGCCCCCTCTGGAAAGACACTACCAGCGTCCCATCTGGTGGGAGGCCCTTCTGAGACAACTCCCAGCAACAGTCCAGAAGTTCCTGTCAGTATGGTCCTCTTTCCAATCCCCTCAACATATCTGGGAGTCATAGTCTTCCCAAACATACAACATGGGCACCCTGTTCATCTCCCTAGATCTGCAAGGCTGCCCCTCACTACTCCAACTGCCTGCTATAAACTCAGCCCAAGGGCAAACACAAAAGCTCAGTCCCAACCACGCACACACCTTGAGTCTGTCCCCCAGTGCATCGCATAGATTTTTGCCAGGTGCCCACGGAGGGTCCTCCGTGTCCTCATCTGGATTCTCCCCACTGGGTCCAGCCCAGCTGTGATCTGGAGGTGGAGGCAGCCAGGGTCAGAAGGCAGAGCCCACTAAGCA